TAGGGGGGAAACACCCTGTGTTACAGATGGAAAAACCAAGGCTCAGGGACACAAAGTGCTTCAAGCCACCCTTGGAAGGGGTGGCAGAGCCAGCACCTCTGCCTGCGGGAGGGAAGCGGGAAGCGGTCCCTGGGCTAGAGGCTGCCTCCTGCGCCCCAGCCCCCACCTCCCTGCTGTGTGACTTGGGAGGACCCACAGCTCCTCTGGCTTTCCTTCCTCTCTTCACCCAGGCAGTGAGGTCCTCTTTCTTGGGGAAATGGTGTCCAGAGGAGCTGAAATCAACTTACTTAGGAGCAGGTTAAATAGGGTGGGGCAGCTGGAGAAGTGTACATGAAACCGAGGGATCAGGGGTCATTCTGGAGTCTAGCAGACTCCGGAAAGGAAGAGAAACAAAAGCGTTCTACTCAGAGGGAGTGGCATGTGGGGAGTGGATGGGAGAGATGAAGGGAGGGGGAAAGGCTTTCAAAGAAAGAAAGAAAGAAATGAGTCGTTCCAGTGTCTGTGGTTGCAGAAACTCCACTGAGTCTTTAAACAACCCTTGTCAATGTTCCATCTGCTGGTATGAGGGCCCCCTGGTCGGCCACAGATCTCTGAGTAGCGAAGGAAAAGAGGGAGGGAAAATGAGGGTCAGGGAGAGGGAGAGAAAATCAGAAAATCAGAAAGAAATAGAGATAAGTAGAGAAAGACAGAGCAGGGAGAGACAGAAATAGAGAGGGGGTGGGGGAGAAAGGAGGGAGGGAGCCAGAGAGAGGTGGGAAAGACCATGCTGGGATTTCCACACTAGCAGCAACACCGAACACACACTTCCTGACTAGCACCGAGCGCTCTGCCCACCTCCTCCAGGGCATCCTGCTTGTTGCTCTCTCTTTGCTGAGGGCTCGCCAGGTGTGCCCAACAACACTGGGAAGGTGTGACACCTGGAGGATACATGGTCTCAGTCATGCCCCTTTGTCATTTGTCCCTCACCAAATATTTACTGGGCGCCTGCTCTGGGCCACTGTCTTGCCTCCCATCTTTCAGGGCATGGCTCAACTCCTGCTGGCTGGAGAACGTCCAGGGCTCAGGGCCTCGGCCTCTTCTTTGCCTCTGCCTTCCCCTGTCCTTGCTCCCTGCACAACTGGACACAGCTGGGCACCTGGCAGGGGATGGGAGTTTTCTGGCTGGTTGGAGGCTTGCTGAGGACTGGGGAATCAGGCACAGGGCAGGTGTTTTTAAGCCCTGTGTGAACAGAACCAGGCCTGTGTACACAGCATGGAGTCCCTCATCTTACCTGCTCTCCCCTAGTGTCTGGTTGGCTGGGGGTGGGGGGGCGTCTAGGGGTGAAGGAGGATGCTTGCAAATTGTTACTGTTTGGAGAGCTGTCATGGACTCTTCATTCCACTTAAGGCCCACCTCTTTCAAAAGACTTCCTGGCTGCTCAGAAGGGTAGTGAAGGCTTCCTCTAGCTCTGTCTGGGCCCTGCACTTGACTCAAGATCACAACCATGTGACCCTGACCCCAGTGGTCCAGTCGGGACAGGAGCTTTGCACCACATTGACAAAATGGTACATGAAAGACCTGTTTCAAAACCAAGTGTCCTGGATGAAGGGAGCTCGAGATGGAAGAATTGCCTGTATTGCAGTCCTGGAAGGAAGATGATACAAGGGCATACTAGCGGGCGGGCACCCCAGTAGGGCTTGGTGGGGCTGTAGGGTTAGGACTGGCAGGCCTGGGGCAGCAGAGAGCATCCACAGCCTCCTCCCTAAAGAGAGAGTACAGCCTGCGTCTCCTGCACTCCCCTCTCCACCCCCAAGGTGCCTCTTTCTCCAGAAAATATTCAATTTCCCATTTAGCCACAATAGGCTCTGAAGGGAATCAGAGCTGGAATTATTTCTTGTGCTGCGGGGAGTGTGCTATAAGACTAAACATAGACCAATGCACTCTGGGAGTCAGGTGAAGCTGGGAAGCTCACAGCCCAGATAAAGTGGCCGAGAGCTCAGGGAGGCAGTTTAGTCCTTAGCTCCCCACACTGCCATGTCACGGGGGCCCAATGCTACATCCTGAGGCTCTGCTGCTGGTGACTACTCCCTGACCACACATTCAGGAGTCACATACCTTGTGGCCATGCCATTGCCACCAGATGTGTTTGAGTGCTAATCAGATATCTGACTCTTCATTCCACTTAAGGAAGAGTCAGATATCTGTAGCTCTGTGGCTTACATGCCATGTTCTTTGCTCATTGCTGTGTCCTGTGGTTGTGTCTTCCTGTAACAGTGCTGTGTGAAAGCACTGGGTTGCTATGCAGCTGCACTTCGCTGCTCCCTGATTGTGTTCTCTTGCTTGTCACTATGTTTCTTGGTTGTATGAGCGCACCCACTACTGTGTGACTTTGTTTTGTTGCTATGAAACAGTGACCCATTGCTACATAATTATTCATGGACCTGTACTCCATTGCTACCCACCCAAGTTCTATTGCTTGTACTGTGCTGCACTGGCCTTGTGAATGTTTGTCTGGGTGCTACTATGGTCCTTCCAGGTTCTGGCTAGTTATTAAGAGCTGGAGCTGGGGGCTGGGTCTTCAGGACCCAATGAGAACAAAGGGAGAGAGAGAGAGAGAGAGAGAGAGAGAGAGAGAGAGAGAGAGAGAGAGAAGAAGAAGAAGAAGAAGAAGAAGAAGAAGAAGAAGAAGAAGAAGAGAAAAAGAGAGAGGGGAGAGGGAAGAAGGGAGAGAGGAGAGAGGAAAGGCAGGGGTAAATGAAATGGAGCTGAGTCAGGAACAGGAGGGAACAGGATAGGGGCCTGGGATAGGCTGGAATGGGCAAGGGAGAGAGGCAGGCCCATTGCCTTGCATACTATGTGTCTGAGGCACCCAGTGGTGTCAGGTGGCTGAGGGTCCAGGGCTGGGCATCCGGGCCTCTATAGCCATCTGGTATTCACTTGGCTATACGCTGGGCAACACAGAGTCAGGAGCCTTGACAGGTTGTCCCACCTCGTCCTCATCGCCATCCTTCGTAAAACCAGGAGCTCCGACTAGAGTCTTTCTAAGGTTCTTTCTGATGTACTTCCTGTCTAGCCAGGGGTTCTAGCTCATGGCCCAGTAAGCATTTACCTACATTTGTGTGGAGCCAGGCCTGGACTGGGTCCTGGAGCCGGTCTGCTCTTAGTTCAAAGGCTGAGTGGTGATGGCTGAGTGGTCCTAACCCCACAGCAAGCTGGAGAGAGCAGCAGTGCTTGTGGCCTTGCCAGGTGCCCAGCAAGGGGAGACCAACCCACTGATGGGTGTGCTAGCATGGTGTTCAGAGAAGACATGCTTTAGTTCTCCATCCAGACCCACTCACAACATCTCTAACAGTCTGTGGATATGGGGCAACCCTGAGCCTCTTGTTTGCACTCAGAGCCTCACAGAATCCATGTAGTGCCCTTGGGTCACTTATTTCTCCTCCGCCCTGCTGTCACTCACAATGGTTACTCAACCTCTTGCTTAAAAATGGTTCTTCCTCATGACCAATCTTGACTTTTCAATCTGCAATCTTGTCTCATCTCTTATAGTTTAACTCTTAAGGGACGATCAAGACGAACTGCAGGCATTGATTTATTAATACTGTCTAAGCAGCGGTTGCCAACCGGTGGTCCGTAGACCACTCGTGGCCCGTGAGGTCCGAAAGATTGGTGACCGCCGGTCTAAAGTCTCCAAAGACAAGGTTTGAATCTTTATTTACAACCCAACTAATGCCTAAACTGGAAGGTCAGGTTAGATAACTGCTTTCCCGAGGGGCAGAGGTGAGAGGAAGGAGTGTAGAAAGTAGCCTAAGTGCCCTGGCATCTGCCAGGGAGGGGCCTGCACTGGGTTGGCCAGGGGCACTTCATGTGGGAGCACCCGGGACAGACCCTGCGGACAGCAACCCTCCCTATTCATCAACGGGAAGTGTTTCAGAAGGCCCAGAGTGCCCGGGGGAGATGCGGAGGCTGTCCTCGGGAGGGGAGAGCCTGGAAGAGAAAACCCAGGGCTTCCCTATTGGCCAGTGGCCTTGGCTCGGGCCTTTTCTCAGGCTCTTCTGGAGCAGTGTTCGCCCTGGGACCCATTGTGGAGGAAGGGAGGAAGCCACACTTGAATTCATCCATGGTCATTGGCTTGGACCCTCAGGGACTGTGGACTGTTTTTTTTGGTAGCCTGCACTTCAACTCTCTGTAGCAAAGGGCTAGCACCCAGCACTGACCCCTCAACAAATTAAGACACCAGCTTGGCCACCTTCATCAACCCTTTCCCAGCATCTGGCCAATTGGCAACAGGAAGCCATGCCAGCTCTCACCATCAAAGATGGTGTCCTCCTTTCTTTGAGGCTCCTCTGATGTACTCCTCCTCCAATACACTCTCTCTTCACATTATACCATTTTACTGTGTTCATAGTACTTTACCAGAAAATTAAATTTCAAAAAATGTGCTTAGTTGTTTACTGTCTCCATGCTAGAATGTAAGTTACATGTAAGCAGGGACCTTGCTTATCCCTCGTCTGCCTCATTTAGATGCTCAATGAACACTTTTAAAAGCATAAACGGTGCCATCTAGGACTTCCATACTCAGTGTAGTAACAACAGCTTCTAAAATCTCCACACGCCGGGGACACCCTTTGCTGTAGACTTATTTTCCATCCCATCTCCTCTGTCATTATTTTAGAAGCTAAAACGAATCTCGCAGGGGCTTCCCACCACCAGTGACGTGCTCCTCAGGATGTTCCGAGTTGGTGACTAGTTGAGTAAATGGAACCAGCTCATACAGTGCTGCAAGGTTTGTTTTAAAAGAAATCATGTGGGTATTTGATTCAAAAGATAAAGAAACTCTGTAAAATGAAGAATGCACACCTTCCACAGTTTAGATTTGGGGTCACTCACAGAGTGCTCCCAAGGGGAGGTCTACTTGTCACCTGAGGAGTGAACCAGGCCACAGGGGCAGTCAAACCTCTTCCAAATCCCCCCTATCATGGCTCCAGCCCTCCCAGACCTGGGGGTGTGGGGACACTCACCATTTCATGGGACATTTGGGGCATCTGAGGCTCTTCCTCTGCTTCCTGACAGATGGATGTGCTGGAGGTCATGGTGGAGCTCACTGTGGCCTTAGACCAGGACTCATGGATGGAACCCAGCTTCTCATCTAAGATCTTAGGGTCCAGGGTGGGCAGAACCTTGCTGTTGTTTGGTGTTAAGAAGTTTTCTGGCCTCTGGGAAGAGAAAGTGCAAAGAAATTCCTTTGTGCCTCTCTACCATGAGTGCACTTTCCACACCGCAAGCCTCTCCTCATGGCTCAGGAGGCGCTGCATGTCTGGCCCCTGTCTACCTCCTGCCCTCTTGCTCACTGGGCCCTAATCACACTGTCCTTGATGTTTCTCTAACAAGCCCAGCTCTTTCCTGCCTCTAGGCCTTTGCATCTGTTTTCTCTACCTGGAAAGCCTCCTGGGTCTTTACATGGCTGTTCCCTTCTCTTCACTCAGGTCTCAGCCCAAATGTGATTTTCTTAGAGAGTTCTGCTCTTTGAGGTGGAGGCCCATCCTATTAAAAGTAACTCCTCCTCCAATATATTCTCTCTTCACATTATACACCATTTTACTGTGTACATAGAACTTTACCAGAAAATTAAATTTCAAAAAATGTGCTTAGTTGTTTACTGCCTACCTCCCTTCTCCAATCTGTATGCTAGAATGTAAGTTATATGTAAGCAGGGACCTTGTTTATTCCTTGTCTGCCTCATTGTAGATGCTTAATAAACACTTTTGAAAGAATAAATGATGCCATCTATGACTTCCATACTCAGTGTCGTAACAACAGCTTCTAAAATCTCCACACTCGGTGACACCCTTTGCTGTAGACTTGTTTTCCATCCCATCTCCTCTGTCATTCTTCCCCCTTATCACCCATTAAGCTCTCTCTCTCTCTCTCTCTCTCTCTCTCTCTCTCTCTCTCTCTCTCTCTCCTCTTTCTCCTTTAATGTCTTGTTTCCTATGCTCCTCCTCCTCTCTCGGTCTGATTTTCACTCTCTGCTTGTCTAGAATTTGACCCACTCAGATACCAGCCCCTCTAGGAAGCCTAATGGCCTCTGCCCACATGTGCTCAAAGCTTTTCTGGGTTCTTCCAGCCCAACTGCTGGCGCTCTCTGCTCACATTGCTCTCTAACTCCAGGCTTGTTTGCCATTTTATTTTTCTAATAAAACTTTAAGTTCCTTGGACTCAGGGACATGCTTATGCACTCTCTGGTGAGAGGTTACTTTAAAGCTTGGTTGAAAATCTGTAGTTAGCCATAAAAAGTGCCCATTGTTCAAAGAATTATGCAGTATTAAGTTTGTAGGGACCTCGAAGATGATCCACTTCCACCCTACATCAGCTGATGGAATTCTGTCTTGGCCAAAAGCAGACAAATATGGCATTGTCTAGAGCAACTGTCGCCAACCTTTCAGACTTCACGGGCCACCAGTGGCCCACAGACCAACAGTTGGCAACCACTGGTCTGGAGTATTGTTCTAGAAGTAAATAGAAAAATGGGAATAGTGCCAACCAGGACTGGTGTGTTCAGTGTTATAAGTGCTTGATTGTCTGATCCTGAATAAAGTGAGAACCTGGTCCTCTATATGAAAGCCCACTCATGAATTAGATGAATTAGGACAAGGACCCTTCACTTTACCACTGAGATCCTTTATGTCCTTTAAAATAAAGTTGCGTGTGCAGAAATTCCTTAACATGTAGCCTTTTTAGGCTTGTGTCAGTAGAGTAAGGGATAGTCACACAAGTACAGAGGTATATCCTGTCCAATCTAGCCTCACCCTCACCCCCACCTTCCACCTCCATCCCTGGATATAAGGATAAATACTTCCAAGGAGAAAACAGCTAAATGAAGACTCTTGGAATGGGAAGAATGAAGCTTGGGTGACCTTGGGGCTGACTATGGCACCTACTGCTTGTTAAAATCAAGATTTCTGGGACTGTTTTGTCCCTGGGCATTAGGCCTGGCTGCCTCTCTCACCTGCTCCTCTCAGTAGCTCTGGGACAGGGAGGGTGAAATTCACTCAGGGGCTCCTCACTGAACATGCTCAGGGCCTCAGTGCAGCATCTGAGTCAGATGGTTTTGGCATTTTGGGTTGTCTGTTTTATATAAGAAAAAGCTCCATGTCTCTCTCCTGTTCAGAGCGGCTGAACACCAGAATGGCATATAGGATGGATGCAGAGAACAACAGAATGCATATTGGATGGATGGATGGATGGATGTAAGAGAGAATGAAGGAAAGAGTAACCACCCAGGTTAAAGACTAACTCCCCATTGACAAAGTGGCCCCTGGGGCTGGGGTGAGATGCTGATTCAGGACCCTTAATGACATTTCTCCTCATTTCCAGGCAGCAAGCCAATTTTGATGTCCTGGATTTCATAGACTGCCATCTAATCCAGTTAGAAGAGGAAGTAGAAGTAATGAAATCAAGGGAGAGGTCTCCAGAGGTGCCCTATCAGTTCTGAAAGCAGGGACACAATGCTGAGAAAGTCCTGTCCCACCCCAGCCTGTCCCCCACAGCCTGTCCTCCTGACATCCACCCTGTGTGGCCCCAGCACCAGAGGGGTCAATTCAGTGACTCAAAAGCTGACATTTATGGAACTGGGCATTCACCAGATACTTTTATGTGTATCTGAAGTTTGTCATGGATAATTCATTTCATTTCATTATAAAGATAAAATAAAAATGAGACTGACCCCAGTCCAGTCCAGTGCCTTTACCGCATCAGTCTCTGGTGGGTGGGTGTGTTCTGAAAAGCATAGCATCTATTGACTCTAGTCTATACTGCCCATTGCACTCTCTTCTGACCTTCAGCTGCTCTACCCGTAGCCCCTGTCAGACTCAGGGGTTCTGCACTGCTCTGCCCTCTCCATGGCTGGTCCTGGCCTATATCTGCTCCCACAGCTGTTTCATGCCAGCATCTCCCCGCCCCACCCACCTCTGCAGGTCTCCTGCCCCATTTTCAATCAACTTTGTCAGGATCTACTGTGGCCTGGGGGTTGGGGGCAAGGTGGGTGGGTGGTTTTTGTGGAAAAGTCTTCAGACTTCCACATAGTATAGGCCCCACAGGCAAGGCCAGAGGCAGTTGCTCTTGACACGTGAGGTAACTGGCACCAGGAAGGCCACAGTGCCTCACAAAGTGCCTACATTCTCCCTAGCGGTCCTTTACCTCAGCCGCCTCAGCTTTAACTGCCCTATTTTGGGGAGGGGCTTGTGCCCTCCCCTCCTTGTTTCTCATGGGGAAGGAGCTTGTTTACTACTACAGGGAGGGGCCAGGCTGCTGGAAGTGGTGGGTCAGGGTGGAGGATAGGGGAAGGGGCAAGGCTAAAAAGGGGGAGAGGGTGAAGCCTGGGGGCTAATTCTTCCTTATGCAGTCCCCGCCTGTCTTGGCTCTCCCCCTTTCCTCCCGATGGGGGTTGGAGTGGGGGCTGCTCGCCCACCCCACAAGCCTGCTTACTTGTTTTTCTACTTGGCAGGTCATACCCTGCCTATTGAGGCAGCTTGGGGCTGACAAGTGGCCCCTCACTCTGTGGCTCCATGGCTGCAGCACGTCCGGCTTCATTAGGGCTGTAATTGGAGATTTACTTTGAAAGCTCAGAGCAATGCATCGCCACACACTGGCTCAGACTCGGAGCCCAGCCACCACTCCTCGTGCTGCCACAGCAGCTGCCCCACATCACGAGTGCCATGTGGGGAGAAGACACCCTTCCTTATGCCTCCCAGCCCTCCCAGCCCTCACTGATGCCTGCAGGCAGGTCTGTTGAGACAGACCAGGCCAAGAGCATCACAAGCTCAAGGTTTTTTGGGTCACCTGTTTTCCCCTCCTCCACTTACATATTCTGCTTCTCTCCTACCCACTCTATCCCCCAGACCCTGATCATGCAAAATGCAACAGTTCCAGCCTGCCCTGGCAATTACAGACTAGCCAGGTCGCAGCTGCTGTCCTTGCTGCTGAAAGTCCCCCTACCGGACTGGGGCCTCTCACCCCGCCCAGAGCCTTCCCGCTGGAGTGCACGGCTCTTAATTCAATTAGCTGGTCCTGAATCCTCCCCAGGGAGCCTGGAGCGGAAACTGACAAATTCTGTTTAACAAAGACATTTCTCCCCACCCGCCAGCTTTGGGTTCTGGCCGCCTGTATCCCCTCACCTCCCCCTCATTAGGTATCTAACAAAGTGCGTCTCAAGAAATCTACTTCCAATCGCTAGTAATTCAGGGGGCCTGATGCAATTTTCTCCATGATAAGGGTGTCTCGCCTGCTGGCAAACGCCATAATGAGCCCTGTACAGCGGCTCCCCATCAGTCACTCCTTTGTCATTTCCTGTTGCTAAAGTTGTAGGTTCTTATCTCTTCAGCTGAAGGCGAGGCTCAGACAACAGGCCCCCTCCAGGAGGGCTTACTGCCTCCCCTGCATATGGCAAGCCTCATTTATGGCATCCTGCATGGCCTTGCAGCTGCCATGGGGTTTGAAGCTCTGAGTCTGTCAGCCAACCAAGCCATGATTCATTCTTCAGTAAATGATGTCAGAGGGTTAATCTAAAAGCCAGTTGTGGGATCAGGGGAGAGGAGTCAGTGATATGGATTTAAAAAAAATCCTGGCAAGGATTCTAATCCTATATAATAAAAGCATAATATACAACTCAGCTGAACAGCCAAATAGCCGAACAACCATCCGGACGACCATCCAGGACCATGCTATGACACCCATTTGTGGCAGGCCAGCCAAGGCGGGTGTGATGCAATTGGTCGGGGCCCAGCCACCCCCCATGATCACCCCACAGAGGGAGGCCCAGGCCACTGACTGGTGGGCTGCAGTGGGTGGTGGGGCCTCTCTCTGTGAGGTAAGCCCAGTCGAGGTGCCAGCAGGAAGCCAGTGCCAGCAGCCAGGGGAAGGAAGGTCTACTCATGCACGAATTTCATGCATCAGGCCTCTAGTCCTATATAATAAAAGGCCAGCCACCATAAGCTTAACGACTGGAACGACCAGAGACCAGAACCACCACAGCCCCTCACTGGGCTGGCCCCACCCCCAAGCAAGCAGTTAGGGGTGATCAGGCAGGCAGACCAGCAGTTAGGGGCAATCAGGTAGGCAGGCCAGTGATTAGGGGCGATCAGGTAGGCAGACAGCCCCTTGCAGGGTTGGCCCTGCCCCCCAGCAAAGAAAGAGGGAGGCCCAGGCCACCAGCAGC